CCTGGAGAAAGCTACAAGGTAATGAACAAGTGATCAGTAACAAACATTCTAACCATAAAGTGAAACATTCGTTTAGGTAAATACCTTGACTTTGATACATAGTGAAAAACAAGCCCTTTTAAATTGGCAAAGCCGACAAACAAACAATAAAACAACACAAACAAAACTTAACAGACAACGAAACGAAAATAAAGTGATCATAAAAATGGCAGCAATTCTTCATTTAATCACCCTGGTGACCAAATTGGCCGGTGAAGCTCATAAAAATGAATTTGGATTTTCATATTCACTTCCCCAGAGTCCAAAAACCTGTAACACAGCACCAAAGTGTGGCACAGAACCTATCCGGTATGTGACGCTTCACTTCCGAGTTCGCCGTTAGTCTTACAGAAACGGCGCCGAAATCACTGTTCTTGAGTGTGAACAGAAGCCCTATCCGGTATTGTTTTCGTGTAGACCCAAGAACTATCCGGAAGTCTCGAGAGTGATCACCAATGAGAAAACGCTTTGATCGTTTATCAAATTCTCTCAATTGAATCTTAAGAAACGTATGGAGATCAGTGTGGAGAATTGGTATGTTGATATTAGGGCTTAAAGGGTTAAACATATGCCTAAGAATCATCAACCCCTACTTATTTAATAAAACTGTTATTACAGAGAGGCTGCATTAACTTACTTCTCACTGACAGACTTGATGGAGTTGATATTAGAAAACAGCACATGTGACTGGCCTCGTTCTAAAACACATAGCGAGGAGCCTGCGTTCAACTCTTCTGATTTGATGAACTGTGACATCAGAATATTTAGACTTCTGAGATAACTTGCCTCTGACGTAATCACCTCAAACATTGCCTGCAATCAACACAGTTAAAGCACTCTCCTTAATACTATGCGACCTTATAGTTCAAATGAAAGTTCTCACTTTCACGATTCAGTATCAACGCGTATATCTCAAGACATAGTGGCCCCTGTGTGACCCTATGTCCTATAGGCCATTAACAAGTTGCCCCAAACTTCTGTTTCAAAGCGAAGCTTTTTATTCTCATGCAAATGAGACTCCTTTTCACACTTAGCCTCGTTTTGAAAGTGAGGGTGTTTTGAACTGAAGTGATTAGCTTATCATTTCTTTTGGTTGATATTCGTTGTCATTAAAAATAGAAGCAAGAATGTTATGAAGTTAACCATGTGTTGCATGTCATTGAAAGGCACAGTAAAGCAAAATTTCTATTTTAAGTGCTCAGATCGGGAGTCCCACCATTCGTCTTGTAGGTATACGTACTGCAGATGCGTCGCTAAGTAAACTTATAGCTGCTGGAACAGTAGCTGCATCCCACAAGTGTTAGACCTCAGGTCCAGTTGAGTGTTTTCTTTACTATAAGACGGACACATCTCTAAGACGGACAACAGACACTATTGAAACCATCAACAAACACTTGAGAAGTGCTTTGTGCAGTGAAAAATACCTCAAAACGGAAATATTAATGTAGGTGCTCTACAAGATTGTAAATTACAAAATCTTTAATATTTTGTAGTCTTTCTTCAGTTTGCAAAGTTTATACTGTTACATTGTACGCTTTTATACCACGAAACCGTGGACACTTTCTTTAAATGAACGTTTGATTCATAGACAAGAAAATGACTCCACTGTTACAGTGTTGCAGTTTTAGCTGTTTTGCATAAGTTAAACAGACGTGTATTCAATGCGAACAAGTTCAGCTAAAGTTTTTACTAGTATCACGTTACGTCGAACCTCTATAAGCCGGACACCTCTCTAAGACAGACAGTCGGGGCAGGTCAAGAAGATGTCCGTCTTAGAAAAAGTTGACAGTACCACACTCCAATGTTCCAAGTCTGCAAGACTCTTTATAAAGACCATACAGCTGGATTTAGATGCAAATATAAAGCTTATTGTATGATACTAAAATCCATTTATATAATTATATTACTTACCTCTTGTCTTTTGCGTTCCTCTCGTTTTATGTTGTCTAAAATGCCACTTTCTTTGACCTGCAGAAGATGAGCATATCATGAAAGACCTTTGAATTGCTCATTCTACTTGGAGACAACTTTACGTATCCTCTATGCAAAAGATTGTTAACATGTAGATAGATGGATAACGGTTTCCTACTAAGCAAGAGCACTAATCTAAACTCAAAAAAGTATTTGTGTACTTCCTACAGAATTAGATACGTTTAGAGAAAAATGAATTTAAATTTCACTAAAAATTTAAAAATGTGTAAAAATCAAACTGTTAAAACATTACTTACAATTGATTGCCTAAAAAGGTTATAAAAAGATGAGCAAGACACTTTTTACAGTGGAGGGTTAAAAAGACATCTAAATCTTGCTTTGCTACAGCCTTTATGAAGGCATTGATTGACGTAAGCTAACTCTTTATCCAAAGTTGAGGTATCAAGTATTCCACTGAATATTTACCATTTATTATCTGGCTGCATTGATCCAACGTAACCTGAACCCTTTCACTCACAGATTATCGCCACTATTGTTAAATTTAATTTCCTTAACATTTCCTTTCAATTTTAAGAGAAAATTATTATTATATCTATATGATTATCAACAAACCTCTGGTAATTCACACCAAAGCACTCTCATGTTTCTCAGCGTTCTTTTTCTAGCTGTTCCAAGAAGGCTTCATCATCCTTTAGTGACTTATCACTGCTGTCACTGCCCATGCTTTCTACTAATGCTTCGCTGACGCTGCAGTGTGCACCGGTATAGACCTGGTACAAGGGCTCTGTTAAAACAAGTGAAAGAAAAAGCAAAGGTTATGCAATGGCTACACGCACAAAAAAAAGAGACTGTAAAGAACATGTTAACTCAAACTCAGTGCTGCTCAGTTACTTCATAGATGTATTTGTTATTCTGAAACTTGAAATATTGCATAACTTTTGGATCACTACAAGATTCTAGAAAACTCGCCACTTACCCCCGTGCCTTGTACATAACCAACCAATCACGGATGTAAAACTCTAGGCCAGTTTATGTTTTCACTTAAAATTTGCTGCATTCATTCAAGGTACATCGTCCAAAGCTTTTTTCGCTCGTTTTTACTTCTTTTTAAAGAACTGAAATGAAACCTTAACGTTGAGTCAGAGTAGATAGTACAACGGAGAAACAAGGCACTCTTTGCTGTATATGTTACAGGTCAAATTTGATTTCAGGTTAAATTTTTTTTAACCTAGGTTGATTCTCAATTTGCTTTGTCTCCTAGCCCTAATTATTCATGAATTAGGGCTAGAAAACAAAGGAAATTGAGAATCGACCGACATTAAATCAAAATTAACCTGAAATCAAATTTGACCTGTAACATATACATGAACATTGCATTTCCTCCATCATACAAATGATTCAGTCACACTTTTTGGCCCTATTTTTTTTCCCAACATAAAATGGAGACCGAAAGAGCTCTGGATGATGTCCCCTTAGTCAATTAAATGTTGCATAAATATAAATCCTGGAAGGCCAGGAAAGACTAATTTGCCAAGAATACTAACCTTCTGCAAAAGTGTCTCTTTCTTCATCTACAAACAAACATAAACACATAACGGTATAAAGTGTCCTTGAAACAATAACTGTAGCCTGCAGAAGAGGCGCTTTTTATTTTTCAGGTGAGCAAAGGCAAGCTCAAAGTAGGCATAGAGAGAGAGACACACACCCAATGGGCCCATCTTACTTTCCACTTGCCTTTGCTCGCCTGAAAAAAAATGCAAACAAATCGCACCTATAGTACAAGGCACGAAAACCGTTTTTGTGTACATTGTAGCTATAAACTTTATCATTCAAAGTTCAGATCCAAAATCTGAGATCTTTTGACGTAAAAGAAATGATTTTACAAGCCCTTAAATTTGGCCCATGTTGTGGCAAAGCAAGTACCTACTAGTTGTTATCATGCTCTAATAATGAATACGTTTTAACACTTAAATGAAACATTATAATGTTCAAAACTTGATCAATAATTTTTGTTAAGGTTTTGGGTCATACAGTCTAGTGTGTTTATATCAACCTTGTGAGTAAACAAACCAGACTCTCTGACACTACATGGTCATCTGATTTTGTTTTATCGCTCGCATGACGACGGATGGAATTAGAATTTACTCAGTCATAAGTCATTTAATAAGAAGGCAGCAGGGCCTAGTGGTCAGCGTGTTGGACTTGCAATCCGGCGGTCCCGGGTTCGAGTCCCGCTCTGGCGAATTGCTAGAGTTGCTCTCGGTTGTCTTGAGTTCAAATCCTGGCCAACTCTTGTACATGTAAATAGCCAAGTGGTTGCCTCCTGTCAGTTGGGGTTTTTAATCCTGTTACGTTGTATTTGAATTATTATTTGTTTCTAAATATTTGACTGGAGTGCCTGTAAACTAGCTGGATAAGCTAAGTACACTTTCCACAATAAACAAGCCTTTAAACCATTTTTTTAAAACCTTTCATGTAACCATTGTTAACAAAATGTCTTTACCTGAAGAAAATTCCTCTTCATCTGACTTGTGGATAGGCTATGGAATATGAAAGCTAGTAAAAATTTAAATACCTTGTTATAATAACCATTTTATGGTGGTAAAGAAGCTGAAATTATACTTAAATTCAAAAGATGTTCAATGTAAAACTTAAGGGTAGTCACATCATGACAGGGAGCAAGGGGTAACAGTACATTTGTGTTACTGAGCTGTATGCGTTAGGTCAAGACAAGTTTTTTTACGTTTGGACCAAGACGAAGTTAAAGTACTCCCCTCAGTTGTTCAAAGGGTTGATAGCGCTATCAACTGGATAAATCTCTATCCACAGGAAAGTGTAATTGGTTTCCAGTGTAATTACATTGTAATTCCACTTTGTCAGAACAGTTTGAAAATCAGCTTTAGATGCACATCCACGTGAATTTAGCAAGAATTTGAAACATTTTATCTTACTGTAAATTCCCAAAAAACTCTACCTGCCCATGTAACTGGAACCCAATACACTTACATGAAAATAATTTTCTACACAGCTCACCTCTGCATAAAGATCATCCACCTCATCATAAATATCCCCATAATTGTTTGGGGGTTCAGGAGGAGAGATGCTCTCTGGAGGAACACAGTAATCATGAGAGGAATCTGACGAGAAGGAATGTTCTGATGATGCTGAAAAATAACATAAAAAATAAAAATGTTTTAATAACGGACACAAACAGCATCACCTGGCTGAAAAGGCTTATCAGTGCTTATCTGGAGTAAAGGTCAGTTTCGATAATACTGAACAGTATAATTATGGTCAACTTTCTTCTAAGACCACAGGTAACCCAGGCACACTATTTGTGTCACGTACAGGCTTCATATAACATACTCCTATGACCTACATGTGCAAGAGGTAAACACTACTAAGACTGCCTATGTTTGTCTTACAAATAGTTGACTATGTAACAGCGACACTGCTGTGTTGTTTATGCACTGTTTAATCCTTAACCCTTTAAGTCCCAATGGTGACCAACATCAATATTCTCCTAACAATATCCATACATTGTTAAGAGATTAAGGTTATGAGAATTAATAATATGATCACCAAAGAGAAAATACCTTGATCTTTTATCAAATTCTCTTAACTCATTCTCTAAGGAAATGTATGGAGACCAGTTTGGAGAATTTGTATTTGGATATTGGGACTTAAAGGGTTAACTGACTGATAATTTCTAGGAGGGATGTTACTATGAATTACCATCATTGTGGTCATCACCATCCTCTTCATCTTTTTTGTCAGTTGGTGGTTCTGTGTAATCATGATCACTGTCAGAAAAGTCAGATTCATCTGTGCTCAGGTCTGTTAATGAATCAACAACAAAACACAAATTAACAGTTACCTAAACCAGTTTGCACTTAACTATTTCAGCTGCGTTTGCTTACCTATTTTTAACAACTATATTTTGTTTGTATTTTTTTTTACTTTCAGTAAATGTATCAGTACATTATCTTGTGCAATAAAAATGAAATGTCACCTGGGAGCAATAGGTATCCCCTGAAAGCATGAAACAAGCAAGAGGGCTGGATAATAGACAAGTTCTTTTTTCCCGACACTTTTCTGGGATAAGATGAAGTCAAATGTAAAAATGAACAAGGCAAACATTCATCGATATTGACAGAGCAAGCTTGGTTATTAATAAAGGATTTATTATATCACCAAAACAAAATCTTTTCTCAAGGCACAAACTGGGCAGTCTTGAGATGGCAAAACCAGTGTTCTCCCTAAATTTTAGCTCAGCAGGTAAGGGACCATTCATGACCAGTAAGGCAAAAAATATGCACCAGAGTTGCACTTTCCCTGGGGGAAGGGAGTAGTGGAGTGAGGGACATGGCCCTGCCCCAATAGGAAATTTAGGAGCAAAGTTCTCTGAAATGTCATTCCCTAAGACCTACATTGTGTATTTTACGCAAATCGGCTGTTGTTCTCTTGAGACAATTAATTTAATTAAAACGTTTGATTGCAATAATTTTACTCTGTCTTTAATGGCTTTCCAAAATGAGTGGCCCATAAAATGAAATGCTGTGTATACTTAAGTACTCTGCCATATATATTTATTCATTTTCTTTGTGAGAATCAGATCAGATCATACAATAATGTACATGTAACTTCCTTTTTTTAAAATCTACTTTTTTTAATTTTAGAAACCGGCCGTCACGCAGTTGCAGGCAGTAAGAAGGGTTGCTTCAAGTGGTAAATTTTACCAGTTACCGCCTGATAAGGGGAGAACACTGAAGACTCAAGCAGCTAATCAGAACACAGGATTTGCTTCACTGATCATGCCCTCTTTTTTAATATTATGGACACAGTCACATAATAAAAATAGTTCTGTTAATTATGCCCCATTTGTCTCAGCCTAAACATGTCTTTTCTGTAGAATGTGCTTAAGCTATGGTTGTTTGGTATTGTATTGGTATTGTGAAATTCTCTGCAGTGAGCAAAACTGATCATTTTAAAACTTACAGCTGTAGCTGACTTGTAAGGAATATTTCAATTTCCAAACCTAAGTATCTTTTCAGAAAAATATATAAGAAAGTTAAGTGTGTCTTCTAGAGCCTTACTTTTGACACAGATGCTTTCACAGTTCTTTAAACAATAAATAGATAGTGTCTATAATATCTGGATCTGTCCCAATAAAACAACCACTAGCTATAGTACAGCAGTTAAAATGTAAGCTATGGTGCTTTATACCACACTGGAGTCCATTCAAGGTGCGTTTTCTCTTCAAGCTGCTCACAAACCCAGCCACTGCCTGTTCATCTGCTGTCTCGTACGCAGCAGCAGCTGCTCTGACTTTTCTTGAATGTCTTCCATAAACTCATTGACAACATTTTCATCAGGTGTTACATAACTACCACCTGCCTCATCTGCAGGAGCTGGAGTGTATTACTGCGGGCTGATGATGCTCTGTTGGGTGGACTTGTACCAATAAATGCATGTTCATATGCATATGAGTATTGAGATTGGTCTAGGCAAAAGGAAAGAGCATATGAGAGCATAGTCAAGTCAGCACCCAGTGATGACCCGTTAATGGGCCATAATTGATAGTTTCACTATATATAAATGTATTACATGCCCTTCTTCATATTTTGTCTTCTGTATTTTTTTCTTCTACATATAGGTTTCTTTTTCACGCCTCTGTATCACTCTACTGTAATGTAGATGTATGACCTTCTAAACTATACAACTCTGTATACCTTGTATACTAATGGAGCGGATTAAGGACAAAAAACAACATATACAACATAATATAATGTATGCACGCTGTCTCAAAATGTCACTAGGATCAGTGGACACACAAAATATAAACAGAAAATTAATGTAATTACAGCTGTATGTGTTGCCTAACAAGCAAGACATATTTCCAGCACAATAATATTAAACTGCTGATTTGGATGGGCTATATGGAGTCACTTAAATCATGAAAATCTGTTATTGAACCAAGAATGATTCAACAGTGAGAAACTACATGTACTTAAAAAATCAACCACAATTTTCCCTGGTCTACACTCTTAGAGACCATAGAAATGACGTCATAAAATGTTCAAAACTCAAGTGGAACCACAAGCCTCAGGCGAGTAGTTTCACTGCAAAGTTTTGAACATTTTATGGCAACATTTCTATGGTCTATAAGAGTGTAGACCATGGAAAATTGTGGTCGATGTGTTTTTTACAATAACATTTATTTTTAGTTTCCTGCAAACTTTCTCGGAAAATCACGTGACATGTTATTTTATTTCCATGGTCTATTTAAGCAATAGACCACACTTTCTATGGGTTTACCAGCGTGATAAGCCACGTGGGATGTTGGGAGAACAGGAGAAAAGCTTGTAAATCACGAGCCGAAGGCGAGTGATTTACAAGCTTTTCGAGTGCACTCAGTTGCACTCATTACATGATAACTTATGAAAGCTGTTTTACAGGAAAAGTCAACACATATTCATGCGAATGTACAATGAAAGAATACGTTCATGGTTTGTTTCAGTACAGAAGTAGAAATTAATTGAATTTTGTTGAGTCGATCCGTAAGAATTTTGTAGTTACAGACGGAACTGACAGCTATTGTAATGGAGGACTTTGTTCACCTTTTGCAAGTCGCAGAGGTTTAAGATCTGTTTTCTGGACTTTATTATGATCAAGAAATGCTGTGGTAATGACGTGGCTGCATTTGCGAAGTTGTCGCATGTAACTTTATATGCTCGAACAGCGACCGATGGAAATATGTCAGTGGTGGAGAAAGGTTTCTTTGCCGTAGCCACTTATTGGCGTTAATATTTGTCGATTCGTGAAGTCAGGTGGTTTGAGGTAGGTTATGGCATCGATATCACTGAATTATTTGTGCAAAATTTGTTGGAAAAAACCAGCCCGAAACTCTGACATCTTTCATCATCGTTGGCAGCTTGTTTACAACCTACAACGGCCGATTTTGTACCATATCTTGATCAGAGATCTCTTTTTGGAACAATTTCTTTCATTAAGGAATTTAATTTTGACATAAAATAAATCAAGAATGCTAAAACTATCCGTTTTGTTGCTGGTTGGCACGTGGTTAAGTTTTCCTAGAGACTTTCTACACCAGAAATTCGAGATATGTCCAGAAATGCACGCATTGGCGAAAATGGCAGAAATGGCAATTAATCGCCAAAATCGCCAAACTATAAACAAAAATTCAAATGAGATGGCAAAGGGGCCCTTTGCCAAGTGGCGATTTTAGCGAAAATGGCGTATTTGGCGAAAATGGCAGAAATGGCGCTTAATCGCCAAAATCGCCAAACTGTAAACAGAAATTCAAATGAGATGGCAAAGGGGCCCTTTGCCAAGTGGCGATTTTGGCGAAAATGGCGTATTTGGCGAAAATGGCAGAAATGGCAATTAATCGCCAAAATCGCCAAACTATATAATAAACAAAAATTCAAATGAGATGGCAAAGGGGCCCTTTGGAAAGTGGCGATTATGGCGAAAATGGCGTATTTGGCGAAAATGGCAGAAATGGCAATTAATCGCCAAAATCGCCAAACTGTAAACAAAAATTCAAATGAGATGGCAAAGGGGCCCTTTGGAAAGTGGCGATTTTGGCGAAAATGGCGTATTTGGCGAAAATGGCAGAAATGGCAATTAATCGCCAAAATCGCCAAACTATATAATAAACAAAAATTCAAATGAGATGGCAAAGGGGCCCTTTGGAAAGTGGCGATTATGGCGAAAATGCGTATTTGGCGAAAATGGCAGAAATGGCAATTAATCGCCAAAATCGCCAAACTGTAAAAAAAAATTCAAATGAGATGGCAAAGGGCCCTTTGGAAAGTGGCGATTTTCGAAAAAAGGCGATTTGGCGAAAATGGCAGAAATGGCAATTAATCGCCAAAATCGCCAAACTATAAACAAAAATTCAAATGAGATGGCAAAGGGGCCCTTTGGAAAGTGGCGATTATGGCGAAAATGGCGATTTGCGAAAATGGCAGAAATGGCAATTAATCGCCAAAATCGCCAAACTGTAAACAAAATTCAAATGAGATGGCAAAGGGGCCCTTTGGAAAGTGGCGATTTCGTGAAAAAGGCGTATTTGGCGAAAATGGCAGAAATGGCAATTAATCGCCAAAATCGCCAAACTGTAAACAAAAATTCAAATGAGATGGCAAAGGGCCCTTTGGAAAGTGGCGATTTCGGCGAAAATGGCATATTTGGCGAAAATGGCAGAAATGGCAATTAATCGCCAAAATCGCAAAACTATAAACAAAAATTCAAATGAGATGGCAAAGGGCCCTTTGCAAAGTGGCAATATTAGCGAAATTGGCGATTTGAAGAAAATGGCAGAAATGGTGCTTAATCGCCAAAATCGCCAAACTGTCAACAAAAATTCAAATGAGATGGCAAAGGGGCCCTTTGGAAAGTGGCGATTTCGGCGAAAATGCCAGAAATGGGGATTAATCGCCAAACACGCCAAACTGTAAACAAAAATTCAAACACGATGGCAAAGGGGCCCTTTGGAAAGTGGCGATATTGGCGAAAATGGCGTATTTGGCGAAAATGGCGGAAATGGCGATTAATCGCCGAAATCGCCAAATTATAAACAAAAATGCAAATGAGATGCCAAAGGGGCCCTTTGGAAAGTGACGATTTTGGCGAAAATGGCGTGCACTAATCTTGTATCTTTTCATCAGCCACAAATAAAAAAAAAAAATAGAGTGCACGTTGGCCTCGTTCTTAAAACGTGTTTTGGCAGAAATGGCAATTAC